ACCATGTATAACAGGTGTCACGGCTCAGGTGCCTGAAGGGCACTGGGAGGGGAGTGAGGTGAAGGGACTAGCTCATTGGTTAGTGCCTAGAAGGAAGGTGGGCCCAGGATTTCCCAAGAAGAGCTGGATTCACTTTAATAAGTCTCCTCACTTCTAAACATCCACAACTATTTCAGTCTTCAAATAAATAGACATTAACAACAACCAACCTGTCTGTGGTTGGCTGTGACCTTGGACTGAAAGTCTGCAACCCTTTAATGCCAACTATTTTTTTCTGAAAATTTCAATAGATCCTCAGATATTCAGAGCTTTTGGAAGCAAACAGACCAGATCTCAGGATGTGGCCTAGAGAGTGGCCCCTCATAGGAAGCTGTCATAACTCCGCTGTATCTGCCACCCACAAATGCTGTCCTGGATGAACATGTGGACCTACCACTGCAGACTGACAGGATGATTACACTTCCCTATGGCACATGGTCCAGGGAACAGACTAGTTAATTTGGCTTCAGGGAAAATAATTGCAAGTTAGGCCTGGGAGCGATCCGTGGGGCTTCTTGGTGGCGTTGCTCTCCTGTCTGGTGACAGCTGGAGGTGGCAGGTTCTTCAAATCGTCTACAGTTTGAACTCACTCTTCAGCAAGTGTCTGGCTTGAAATATTAAGTGATTCCTAGCCTTGTTCAAAATGACACGAGCCCTGTCCTTCGTGGAAGTGTCTCTTTCCAACTGTCTGAAGGCCGGACTCTCTTAAGAACTTAGAAGGACGTGAATAGCTCCCAATGCGTTTGTGAATCCAAATGTAACCAATATTTAGGATGACAACACTTTTACTTTTAAGCAGATCAGGAGAGCAATCTGATTTAGAAGGCCCGTAATATATTCAATCCTGCTTTCTGTCAACAAAAATAGGCTTGCATTAATCTGCTCAAAGCCAGTTTGGGGGATTTTATAACTGCCACACTTAAAGGTAATAAAAGTTGCCTACATTCATTATTGTTACTATTGGAAGCCCTGGAGAATACTTGAGATTTGTTATGAGTACATATCGTTTGAGGAAGAAATTCAGTTGCTATGACATTTACAAGCCGGAAACTCAGCCTCCGTCTAGTCGATGAAGCGATGCGGGTTTACTCATGCTGAATGAACGATTAGTCTACGCAGGCTGTTATGAATTTACCTCAAACTTGAGTATCTCAAAATCATTGCCTTTTAAACTATCTAATTACTGTTTTCCTCCCGGCATAGTCTCTGGCTCTGATCACTAATGCATGCTTTTCAAAGTCGCATTGTGAAAAGTCAATACACTTCTGGGAAAAAGTCATCATCATAAAAAGTATTGAACTTATGAAATGCTTTTCATGTACAAAATGATTTACAAACATTTATTAATTACCATCCAAGAGAAGGTCCCTACGCAGGACTGAGTTCTGTTCCAGGAATGAGCATCAAGTGTGCAAGGCCCTGGGCTCCACACACTGAGTGGCCTGATTATTATGATCTCTGAACGCATAATAATCTGGCCACTCAGTGTATATCCTATATAATAAAAGGCTAATATGCAAATTGTCCCCTTGACCAGTAGTTCAACCAGCAGGCAGGCCGGCTACCTGCCCATGTCCTCTCCCCCTGGCCAGGCTGGCTGGACCCCACCCATGCACGAATTCATGCACAAGGCCTCATACACACACACACACACACACACACACACACACACACACATTGAATGGCCAGATTATTATGCGTTCAGAGATCATAATATTCTGGCCAATCAGTGTATGAGGCAGCATTTGTTTTCTTTCCCACTGAGCTGTGATCATTTGTCCCCTGATCTCACAGGGGATCAGATGAGCATCTTCTAAGGTCTAAATATCCAGGTGGTGATAGATGTTTTTGAAAACAAGAGAATGATTTAGTATTTCTGCTGTTTTCTTAAAAATGACTGCTTTCCATATTACTATTCAGATTTCTTTCAAGAACATATCATTTTGCCAAAATCTGGAGATTATCTTATTATTTTAGTCAGGTTTATAAAAGAAAAAAAATACTTAACTGAGGACACTAAGGAAGAAACAAATTGTCCCACCAGTTGGCCAAATAAATCAGTTCAGAAAGCAAAACATGTAATAAGCATCATATTTTCTGCCCAGGACTGCAGCAAGAACTAGCAAGAGCAGCAATATTAAAAATAATGGGGAAAACCAATTTGCTTTTCTATGAAAATTATTTTGCTGTAAAGACATGAAAGCAAGCCTAATAGCTACTATATATAATTTTATGAAAGAACAAACATTTAATAGAAAAAGTAGAAGACAAATAATCTTCAAATTTTAAGATAATAAAAAATTAAGGACTTTGATATTCTTATTGTTATCATAATTTTATTACTAGCTTGTTCCAAAGGTAGATGGGCTGTCCTGGAGCTGTGATTGCATTGATGCCTGTAAACACTGATTCTGTCAACTCAGCTGCTGCTGTTCTCACAATCCACATGAGATCCTGACAAACCACACTCAGGACACTTAGAGCCAAACTCATTAATTTGATGGTAATGACATATGAAAACTAAACAGCAGTGAAATTCAGACTTTCGGCTCCCTCAGAAGTTAAGTTTTAAATAAGATTTATTGTACAATAAGTCATTCTCCTCATTTCAAAAGCATTAAATTGATTCATATAGAGGATCCAACTCTGTATAAAACTGAATTCAGGAAGTGAACTAGTATTTATTGTCAACTGTGTTTCATCCAAGAGTGGACATTTCATCACAAAAAGCAGAAGAAAGTCCTAATCTCCCACTTATTTCATAACTTATTATTATTGAAATCTTACCCACCCTGTCTGAATTTTTCTCATGTTTTTCATTGAACATTGAAAACTTTATCACAGGTGTGCATATGGGAAGTATATAGAAGTGGACATCCCAAGATGGAGTATAGACAGTGGAGGTGGGAGAGGGGAGAGAGAGAGAGAATAAGGAATGGACTCAGTCAATGAAAGGCTCCCTAGAAACCTTCCTAAAAACGGAGGAGTGTATACATTACCCAGGATTTTCTCCCAGCCGAGCTCCATTCCTTAGTGACCTAGCGTCAGGAATAGGGAACCACTCATTTTCCTTGAAGCTGCTTTGGATTTTGACATCAACATAGGTTGACAGTTTTTATTATCTATTGGGCACTTAAGAAAGTGTAGTAACTAATTTCATGATATTAGTTCATGCATGAGAGGATTTTTTTTTGTTTTGTTTACCACTTACTTTGTTCCATGGGGCATGATAGCAACCCATGTGCACTATGTCCATGAGGGCCTGACATAGGGATGGATGTTAACGCAGGTGCTAGAGGCCTCCCGAACAGCGGAGTTGCATGTCAGTTGAGAAAGAATGCGCTCTCTTTACTATGAATGCCAAACTATGTTTAGAAAAGTGTGGTATGGATTTATGAATGTATACATAATATTAGATATTGAGTAATATATGATAGTTTTAGTGCTCGAGCAATTATGAATGAAAGCCACCTGAAAATGTAGAAGAGTGAGAGATGAAACTGGACTCTATTTGGAGCTTTTGAACTCCTGCGCACAAAGGACTCTATTTAATTCACCTGATCAATAGAAACAAAAATCTCAGACAAGTTAGCCCCTACTCTCTGGTTTGGGGGGACACAAACCTGGCCTCTCCCCAAGTTGAGGAAACATTGAGACCGTGAGCCTTTGCTGGCTCTTCGGATCCGCAAGGATGTCTTGGGCAGGCAGCTGGTCACAGAAGCGTACCCCAATATCTGTGTCCCCTATTCATTTTGCTCCATTGGCTGTCACGGTGTGCACAGAAGGCTGGTCAGTCTGCACTGTGTGGCTCACGGCTCAGGCAGGACAAGGTCACAGCTCTGACAAGTCACTGTCCATCTGCTGTTGACAATGCCTGTACTGTGAACAGCTCTGAAATACTTACAAATAAAAATGAGAAAATCCAATTGTGAAGATTGTGAGATTTGATGGTTGTGAGAAAAGTTGGCATATTCTCAACATGATGAAGAGTTCACACCATTTTTACCAAGGCAACACTCCGGGACGCGGTCTCACCCCTCGCTCCCAGGACATAACACCTGCTAGGCTGGGAGTCAGAACAGCCTGAAGGCAGGACCTTCCTCCAGGCTGTTCCGGAAGGAAGCGAATGGCCTCACAGATGGCCCGGCCCACTTGTAACCTGTCCTCCTCCATGCTGTTCGACCCTGAGAACTGGACCCCGGACAGAAACAGGTGTCCAGCAAGGAGTCAACCCACAACCTCTTTCTCAGCCTTGGACAGTGTGTGGATTATTTTTGGAGCTGGAGAGAACATTGGCTAAGAAATAGCCAGACCAAAATGTCAAAAACCTGATTAAATAAATAATGCCATTCCTATACTTATTTTTTGTACAAAACTAAGGCCACGTCCATTGCTAACAACTCATAATGATTCCCTAAAATCTGTTCATGTACCCTTTTCCCTGGCAGAACACAGAATTGTTTGAAAAATTAAACTTTGCTACGAGGAATGGCTTACTGTATTCCAGGGTTGGTAGAATATTTTAGGTGGGTGTTTACTTCCCTTTTCTTTTTCTTTGCCATAAGGCCCTGCTTCTGCCACGATTGATACCGAACCTCCTGAAAACTATTGGGAAGATCATGCATATGGACTTCTTATTGCGTCCAACTATTTCTTGTCTCCCCTTGATTCAGAGATCGAAGCACATAACCCTGGAATGCGTATATTTCAAATCATCCCAATCATGTTCACAGCATCTTATTTTCTTTCTAAGTAGGGTGAAAACTTTGAATACGGAAATTTCCACGAGCAAGTAAAAAAATGTACATTTTAGCTCTGAGAGCTGCAATCTATTTCCTATTTATCCTCCTCATCAAGAGGACTTATTTATACTCTGCCTATAAGTCATTTAAAAGCCACCGCAGTTAGAAGTCCACAGATTAATTTGGCACCTCCTGAACATGTGTAATCATGTGAAAAACTTTAAAATTCAAAAGAGTTTAAATTGCTTTATTACTGTACCATAGATATTTATAAGCTCTTAATAATATACTTTTTTTTTTCTTTCCAAACAAGTCGGTATTAAGAATGTATCTGGGGATGGGGCCAGAGAGGGTATTTACAGAACGATTTGCCTTTAGAAGCCTCTCGAGATTTATGGATCCATTCACCGTTCAAGTGGCTTGAGAGCGAAACAGTAAAAAATCATTATCACAGACAGGAAGTGGATGCCGGGTTCTGAAATGGGGACTCCTCTGGAACTCAGACCTGCAGAAAACAAAAAGAAAACACGATCTGCTGAGAATAAGTAGCATTACTTGTTAGCTTCATTCTTCCTGACCCAAATGCATAATATAGCTTATCTCCTAATAGTGTATTTTAGAGCAAACACGTGTTCCACTTACATCATGTTTTACTGTGGGAAGATCCCTACCCTCTGTCCCAGGATGTCTGTTTTCAATGCAAAAATGAACAAATGAAAATGCCCTAATTGGTCAACTCTGACCCCAGCGAAGGTGAGGATTGGCCAGTGTATGGTGGCAGATACAGGTGCAGGCGGACGGGTGTGTGATTCTTCGACAGCAGGAAGAATGCATCGGTGTTCCAAGCCCTATCTGCCTCGTGTTACCTGCTGAGTACACTGTACTGAGAGGGTGTGTGGCTCAGCTCGGCATAAATGCGGTGATGGATTGGTGATGTCTGCCACAGGCATAGGAAAAGCTGAATGCTGCACATATTTCATATTCTTCCTGCTCGGAAGCCTGCACACATCCACACAAAAGTGTTGTGATTTCTGTCCAATAGGAAGAATCATGCATGATGACCCACAGTTGTGGGGGTTTTTTTGTGGGTTTTTTTTTTTTTAGATTTGAACGAGGAAACACAATACTGGTGTGTGATACAAACATGTTGCAAATCGGAGGGGTTATTTAAAGAAAAATGGACTCATCGCCTCTTGCTCACAAATTAAAATGGAAACACAGACCTTTTTTTTTTCACCCAACATTTAAACAAGAACTGAAATGGTATGCAGAGCCCAGATTTTATGCTGCAGCTGGAATCAAAGTCTACGACAGCAATCGATGTGGACGCTACTCACTGGACATTTTTGGAATCCTGATTTCCTCGCTGCTGCTCCCGTCCCCACCATCGCTGACTGTCCTTATCTCAATCAGGTAGTCCTCTTCGAAGGGGACCAGCAGCTCAGCTGATGTGTTGTTTGTCTCCAAAATGTGGGTTTTACTCTGTCGGTTTTGCCTGTACAGAATCTGAATAAAATGTGGCTCAAGTTAAAGGGACATGTTCCTTTTCTGAGGTCCTAACACTCCTAAGGAACACAAAGACACATCATTATAAATAAATGCTGGCCCTGGCACTTGGCCCATGCTCGGTTGATTGGAGCATCATCTTGATACAACTAGGTTGTGGGTTCAATCCCTGGTCAGGGCACATACAAGAACCATCCAATGAATGCATAGATAAGTGGAATAAAAATTAATGTTCATCTCTCTCTCTCTCTCTCTCTCTCTCTCTCTCTCTCTCTTTTACAATCAATCAATAATTTAAAATTTTTAAATTCTGTATTCCTTGGATGGAAGTGCCCAATCTATGCCCTTTTTTGGAAAATGTAGTGTTAAGAAAAAGATTTGCTGTTTTTTCCAATGCTTCTGAAATGAGAGTAGATTTATCTCTATTAATTAAATAGCTCCAGGCTATCATCTTTGAAGCCTGCTGTGAGAAGCCACTGGTTAGCGGGGCCCCATTTCAGATTTCTGAGTAGATGCGTTTGCCAGAGGACATCTCATTAGCTCAGATGGAAGGGATGTGCTCTGGGTATCTGACTGGACTCTTGTTTGATTCTTCTAATATCGGTAAATGATCACATCCTACTGCAACATCAGTTCTAGAAATTCTACTGCAATAATAATCTTGGACCTTGCTCTCATCTCATTCACATTTACTACCCACATAAACCCTCCTTGTTTAATGGTAAGGAGAGTCACTTAAAGAAAACTTTTGCAAACTATAGAGTTTTGTTTCTTCATGCTCCAGGACACATTATGGACCTCAGGATATACAGCTTTTTCTTTTTCATATATATGAAAATAATAAATATATATATTATTTCAGAGAGAGGAAGGGAAAGGGATCAACAGATAGAAACATCAATGATGAGAGATTATCACCACTTGGCTGCCTTCTGCACACCCCCTACTAGGTGCACAACCCAGGCATGTGTTCTGACTAAGAATTGAACCACAACCTCCTGGTTCATGGGTCAATGCTCAACCACTGAGCCACACCAGCTGGGCAGGACATAAAACTTTCAGTGAAGAAGTTCACAACAATTCTCAGTATCTTCAACACCCATTTTAGGAAGATCCCTCAGTTTCCATATGCATGAAATGTGTTTCCTATTTGGCTGCAACATTCCTGGTTCTTTAGTAACTTAGCTGTCATACTTAAAGGGAAAACCAAATAGTCACCTTGTAGCCCAGCACCTCAGACTCATTTTCCATGGTTTTCACGTGCTCCCAGTTCAGGCATAATTTGGAGTTAGTCAGCTTCCACGCAATGTTAGCTGGGGGTTGGCTCGGAGCTTTAAAAAGATAACCAAAGATCTCAATGAATATTCATTAGCTTGTGGTTACTCCATGACACATCAACATGAAAGGGACAGGAACTGCTGGATGATGAGCATGGCAGAAGCTAAAATATTCTCAAGTTCATTTGAAATAGCATATTCTAATTAGAGTAAGCAAATCCATTCAAATTCTGGTCAATTGAGAATGACTGTGACAAACGTATGAATTAATAATGACTTGCCCCATGTCCAAGTATCAATTTATTAGTCATTGCTGTTGAGTTTGTTTGTTCTGCCACATATGACTGGATTGGGGGGAGGATGCTCCCTTACCTAGTGTCCCATTTGGCTGTAGGTCAATGCGCATGTCAAACAAATTCAGGTTATGAACCTTTTACACGTATTAACACAGAGGGTTCCTCCTTAGTCATCTTTAGCTCTTTAATCTTGTACCAGGACACTTTGTAACAATCAAATTAAGGTTTTTTAAGCAAAATTTAGCAATACGTTGGGAAGGATGCAGGATCGCTCTTAGAACGCAGGGAAGGATGGGGAAGAGCCTCGGGGTGGTAAGAGGAATACCAGAAGGCCAGGCAGTGCCCCTCAGTGTCTCAGTGCGTGCTGTGGGCGCAGGACCACCCTCCCTCTGTCATCCTCAGGGTTCCTGCAGAAGTCACAGTGCCCATCACCTCCAAGGTTGGAAACCTCCTCTGGTCAGATGCAGTCCCGGCTAGAATTCTTGGGACAGAGCTGACTGCCAAGGTAGACTGGCCACCGTCTGTCTTAGCCCAGTGCCCGGGCTCGGAGGGAGAAAGGTGGCTGTCTTGCAATACACAGAGAAAGGAATGTCATAACAAGCCAGATGATCATCCCCGAGGTGTCTCTCAGCGTCCAGCCCGTGGTGTCTGCTTCCCTGGGATCGCTGTTTTCTGGGAGAAGGCGTGGGAAGTATGGGGGGCGGGGAGCACAGGTTTGGAATCGGCCTTCTGAAGTAATGGATTGGGTCTACCGGTGAATGTTACATGCGAGAGCCGGTGTCCAGGTTGGGAGGCCACATGGCGAAGAGCCTGAGGCGGAGGACAGCTTGAGTCCTTCCAGTTCCTGCCCCCCGATGGCAGGCCAGTGTTCTCCATGACAACACTCCGCTGCTCAGAGCTGGGAGGCCACATGATGATTCTCAAGATTTAAAAAGCTGGTGAGACTAAAAATAGCTCAGCTGGGAGGCAGCGGCAGAGATAAAGCCGCCCAGCAGGCTGGTTTTGGCATCTGACTTCAATGTGTGAGGCTGAAAGAGTGGGGTAGTTAACTCATCATGACATGGGTGGAAGTGGAGACGATCTCTTTTGGAGTTTTGACTCAACCGCTGTTTAACTTTGGATTTGCCCCTGAGGGGTGGCGGGGTGGCTGACATTGTGTTACATGTCCCCCTGCCTCTTCACGCCCACTGGGGTCCCCCTCCCCCCCGTGTTCACCAGCCACTTGCACGTACATCACAGGGGACCTGCAGAGAGAGAGAGGTTTGCCCTGTGCTGCAATATGGCTGTGTCCATATTTTATTAGAGTTTATCACCCTGACTTGCAGTTATTCTTGCTGATGTGCTTTGCTAATCTTACTGAGAGCTTGTGTGCTGTTCAAGTGCACCACCAACCCCAGCACATGTCCTGTATGTTGCATAAAGGACTTGCTGGGTCCTGTGTGACTCAGGTCACATTAATCATGTCTGGGCTGTGGGCAGATCCACAGTGACACAGCGTGGCCGGTCCACTCCTCATGCCATCCTTCAATCAAGGCTAATTGCCACGGCCACACCTACAGCCTTCCACGTGGATTCACAAGACGGTCCGGCCCGGGGCATTCCTGGACAACAGAAGCCCGGTCACCACCGAGGGCTGAGGGCTCTGCCTGTTGTCAGCTCTGTGCCTGCTGCTCAGCATGCTTATTTCCGAAGGACACAGTCTCAGTGATAATCATCTTGTGAATATCCTCCCTCAATTTACCCCAGCTTGCTTTCTCTAATCCTTTCTGGGCTATAAAGGAGATAGCATAAGAATTCTCTCCAGCTATCACAAAGAATGTCTAGTTTACTCCGGTGACATTTCTTTTATCTGTTCTTCAAAACAGCACTATCATTAACAGCATCGGGCAATCAATACAGAGGGAAGATAAATCCCTCCTTCCACGTCACAGTGATGGATTCTGAGGGTTTCATCTACTCTGTGCCTGGGGTTGGTGTGGTGGTTTGTTAAGATAAAACTCTTTTCAATGCTGTGAATCTGCTGGGCAAACCCAGGCTGGGACAGAGCTGACTCCCACCAGCTCCAGCAGGACTTGGCGTGACCCTGAGTCGGCCCTGGTGTCTGTGCCTAGCAGAGCAGAGCAGGGCATCCGTGCACGTAGAGTGAGGACAGTTCTATGGGGAGTGAGCTCTCGGGCTGAGAGGCCAGTGGCCCGGATGGCTCAGACTGCCGTCTGCTGTCTGGGAGGGAGGGAAAGCTGTGCTTTGCAGCCAGACAGACCTGAGTTTGTCTTCAGTTTCTGCCAAGAAGCCTGGTTTTCACATCTTTGGAATGGGACTCTAATCCTCTAGTTGATAAATGTTTCGCCTACATGACATAAAAGCCAGACCATTCCTGGTGTGGCTAGTGGTACTCAAGCAGCCCAGTATCTGTGCATTCTCTGTGCTGAGAGAGGCAGTGTTATGACATAATCAGTTTTTCAATTGAGTTCAAAGTGGTTCATTCCTAATAATACAATTTCTAAGTTTGCAAATGATGTACTTCTTAAATATAATTAGAGTACATTCAAGACTCCCTCCTAATAATAGTACTCCTGCTTGAGTTCTGCATGTGCTTTCTGAGAGGCGGATAAAGAGGTCCATCTCAGCCCAGTGGGCATGGCTCAATGGTTGAGAGTCAACCTGTGAACCAGGAGGTCACAGTTCAATTCCTGGTCAGAGCATATGCCCGGGTTGTGGACTCAGTCCTCAGTAGGGTGCATGCAGGAGGCTGCTGATCAACGATTATCTCTCATCATTGATGTTTCTACCCCTTTATCTCCTATGAGCTATACATAACTGATTAAACTGAATTGCAAAAATCTATGATGAAGCTGAAATTTCTATTATCTTGACAAACCAACCATGGTCATGTGGATGACATGAAAGCCGTGTTGTGGATGTTCACATGTGTTGGTCTACAGTAATCTCAACAAACAAGCACTTCTCTGATTTAAAAAATATATATATATTTGCAGGCAATTTCCACAGAGTAAGTCATTTTCTGTTAATCAAACGACAGAGCAAGTGGCTCTGGCCCTCCACAGCCCATCGATTTTCCTGTAGATGGCATTTACATTCAACTGTGGTTCACACTGCGAACTCGATTCAAAAAACAACCTCTTATGTTACAGTTCTAAGTAACAGCATGGGGTTGACTTCTGGGGAAGAGAGAGAGAGAGAACATGAGTGCAAGATGAAATAAAAGCTTAATGCTCCCTTTATGGCTAAATGTGGGTTGATTGCATATTTTCAACCCGAAGAATCCAGTTCAGAGTGGTCAGTCCAGGTCAGGGGCCAGATGGAATGGTCATTTGCAAACGCTTTCTGCCTCTGGGCCTGCACTCCTCTTTCGGGTGGGAGCGGTGCTTTTTGCTTTTGCTTTTCCCCTGGGAGTTGACAGAAGTATTTTTTCTCTCTTCAGCTGTAAATCTAAATTCCATTGAAGTGATGTCTGTGTGGATCACAATGTATTTTCAGAGCCCCTCAGTGGTTTTTGGAAAGACCTCATTTTCACTGGGTTATTACACTGGCTGTTACATCACCGATATTTGCTTAAAGAGCCAGCTGTCCTCATTGCCAGCAGCAATGCAAACAGAAGCTGGTGTGTTCCCTCTGTGTTGGGCCCTTTATTCACCAGCTCCCGTCTTTATGTCACATGAAAATACATGGCCTTCCCCAGGCAGCCCTCTACCCTGGGGACTTCATAGCCTCTTACCTTTCTTCATGGTGCTTCTCATAAATTCATGGCTATTTCATGGCCTCGTTTGGTTTGTTTGTTTGTTTGTTTTTTCTTCTTGACTCCTCACTTAAAGAGAACTTGCTGGGAGGTAGGACGCTCACCTGTCTTCATCTCCATTAGGCACTGCACTGAACCCTGTGCCTGGCTTGTGAGAGGTGCTGTTTCCTTGGATGATTGATGGAATCATCCTAGTCCCCCCCGCCCCCCAAAGTCTCTGTCTTCTGTTTAGCCCAATCAGAAGGGGCAGAGGTTTCGGTAAATGTGAGTGGACATACGTATGATGGATGATCACATATCTGATTGAGAACCTAGTCAGTGACTGTATACTGTATGGATGTGTGAAGAAGACAGAATTTAGGCTGTCACCACTGTTCAGAGGTAACTTTGATGACGTCTCAAGGACATGGAAAAGTTTGATGCAGGGACAGCACTTGGAATCAGAACTATCATCAATGTCTCATTAAAGCCATTTCTCATTTCTACCTTGGATGTCCTTGAAGGAAGTGTCTGAACCACTGTTTATAAAGAGAAGGAAGGGTAAAGGTAGTAATGCCTTCCTCCTGTAGGAAAGCCATGAGAGCAAAATCACCTCCAAAAAAAGCAAAGGCACCATGTTCCCATGCCCTGTGCCTCCCGGCCTGGCACCCTCCAGGGTCCAGTGGGCACATACTGTCCTTCAGTGCTCAGAGAAAACTGAACTCGAGGAAATCATAGTCACCTCTGTCCCTCAGATGAGAAGATGGGTTCTGAGCTATCAACATATCTGACTTGTCAACAAATAATTAGGTCATGGCTGAGCCAAGATCCCCAACCTTCTTTCCCCCTGAAGCCCTTTTCCAGCTCTGTCCAGCACAACCTCACAATAAGCCAGTGCTGTGGGCACCAAGGAAAATGGGCCTTCATTGAAGGGGAAGCTGTGGGAGACCTCTGGTGAGAGGAGGAAACATGTGAGTGTTCAGAGGCATGGCAGGGGCACTAGGATGAGAGACTACTTGAATTCAGACATCAGAATGTGAAACTCGAGATCAGCATGCCTGCTGCTCCAGGGCTAAGGAGCAAAGGGCTGGGCAGGAAGTCTAGAGGGATCATGGATGATTTTGTATGTGTTTCTCTTCATCTTTGTCCTCCATAGTAGAGGAGACAATGAAATGTTGGGATGAGAAGAGGGTACGGTTCCATTTTAGGAAGGAAAATGTAAGGGCAGTTTGAGGTGTGGACTGAAGATGAGGGAGAGTGGAAGGAAAGAGACTATTGGAATGCTTAGAGGTGAGGATTGCAAACTCTCACTTTGTCCGTGGGGTGGAGACTTTCAGAGAACCTATGTTCATAGCAGGTCAGATGCCACAACACCACTTACCCAAGCACCTGTTTTCTCAGAACTAGGAGCTGAAATACCAAGCACCTTGATTGATTTAATAATTCAATGAGATGATGTAGAAAACTGACACAGGGCCTGGGGCACAGAGGTGCTCAATATTTTGTAACTTTCGTGGAAAGAATAAGGGACCCAAAACATGTCCATAACCTGAGTCCCAGAGCCCATGGCCATGTGACTCTGACCCCAGAGCCCAAGATTGTGTTACTCTAAGTTCAGGAAATGTGTAACTCTTTTTTATCAGAACTCAGAGACTAAAGAATGCGTTGCAAAAATCCTGTTAACAAATAATTTATGTTCACCAAATGATAAGAAGAATAAGACATTATGCAGTCATGAAAAGAGAATTGCAAATTACATATTGCAATTCTCCCTCAGTCATATCAGATCAGACCTTTCCCTAGCTGTTGCTATGCCTCATGTTATGGAAATCCAGATTCATATGTAGCAGGTCCTGCCTCTGTGACAGATGATTAAGGGAAACATAAAGAAGCAGAGGAGTTAATTCTTGGATCTCAAGGGCTTCCAGGTCAATGAGGGATAAGATGTCCTAGAAGGAAAGACCTAGATGGTCTGACAGTGCAGGGTCCACTGGAGCACTCTCGGACTCAACTGATAAAACAAGAGCAGATGATAGGAGGCACTAATGAAAGTATGTCCCACACGCTCCTATATCTTCTCCCTCTCACTCCTGCACAAAGCCCTATGACGGTTTTTGAGGGGACAGTTCCACTCCATCCTTGTTGAGCAAGGGAGGGTGTTGAGACCTCTTGAGATGGGAGGTCCAGTATTGGGCTCGGGCTGGGAGGGGGCGTCACAGTCCATGTCCTTCAGCACTGCACCATCTGTATTTCATCTATAACAGGGGTGGGAAACTTCTGGCCCTCGGGCCATATAAGGCCTGTGAAATCATGTGGTCTGGCCCTGCCAAGGCATTGGGGGGTGAGTTAATGAAATGTTTGACCAAATATAGCAGACTAAGTTTTAAGTTGACAATTTTGTATGGCCCTCAAATCATGTTATAAATATGCAAATGGCCCTTGTTAGGAAAAAGATTTCCCACCCCTGATCTACATACTTAGAATAGTTCCTCTTTGGAATTCCAAAAATATCAAAATGGTTTATTTTGATTGTTACCAGAAAGTTTCAACAATTATCCAGATTTAACAGACAAGCCAATCACCAATCAACCAAACAAAGCAATCAGTGAAGGCTGTGGGGGAGGAGAAGAGGGGAGGCTGAAGGAAGACATGCAGTTCCGTTCACAGCTGATGCTGCTGCCTGGAGGGTGAGGGATACTTACGTGACTTCTTGGTCGTGACGTTGACCGGAGGGCTTGAGGGCCCCGTCCCACCCGTGTTGTAAGCTCTGACGGAGGCAAAGTAGACGGTGTTGGCCTTCAGCCCCATGATGATCTTGGTTGTGACATTTCCATGGACTCTGACCTTACCAATCATGGGTTCCCTGGAGTTGTCAGTCCAGTATAAGACCTGGAAACAGAGGGAGGGGTCATGGTTTCCTGGCAACCCAGCAGGCGGAAGACAGGAGCATAAATGGCAGGGTAATATCTCATTAAATGGGTTATACAACAACAGCAAAATACAGTCTACTCTTTATAGGGAACAAAAAAAAAAATACAAACTCAGAGTGGGAAAGAGAGAACTTGTGGGGTTTTGTTTTTTTAAAATTGACAAAATAAAGTATTTCATGAGATACCTAAAGATGATCAACTTGGACCGGCCATTGGGCTCAGTGGCTGAGCTGTGTCAACTGATGAACAAGAACAATTCCTGGTCAGGGCACATGCCTGGGCTGTAGGCTTGAACTCCAGTAGGGGACAGGCAGGAGGCAGCCAATCAATGAATTTTTTTTTCTCATGGATGTTTCTATCTCTCTATCTAACCCTTCCTCTCTAAAATCAATAAAAATATATATTTTTAAAAAACAACTCCTATCCTCTTTAAAAAAAATAAAGGTTACCAGCTTGAATAAAGGATAAATAGTAAGTCAGACGCAAACAGGATTCATACCATGGATCAGAGACTTCTGGTATGATGCTTTGCTGTCCACATTTCCTCTGGAGTTCTTCGAATAACAGGTTAATTATTCAGCTAAATACTGAGCCTTTTCTATGCATTAGCACAGCTTCAGGCATGTTGAAAAAGACAACAGAGAATCAGGCGTGGAAACCTGCCTTGGGCCCCTTACCATCTAGTTAAGAGGTTAAAATATAGAAGCTGTCCCTCGAAACACGTGTGCACACTTGAACAGCTGGTAGCTCAATTACTGTCTCTTCCTTTTCAGCCAGACAAAGCTCTGAACAAAGGAAATTCGTCCTTAAATGCCACTGATAGTGTGAAAATGCAGTTGAAGTACCCACAGTGCCTGTGCCATTATTCAAAGTGAGGAGGCATTTTGGGGGAACACCCTGTGTGCGTGAAAAGAGAGTGGAGGACTGTTTCTAGGAAGTGGTGCCGGAATCAGTGCCCTGAGGACTTGAAGGAAGACCACGTGGGGCATGATGAGAGGATCCCAGAGAAGGGAGAGGAGGATGAGCTCAGGGAGGGGAAGGGGGCTTGGCTCCGGTGAGGCACTTCGGCATGGAGGGGCGGCATGGAGGGGTGAGACACCTGCCCCGGGAGTGCTCCTTTGTGTTTGGACCAGAGGCTTCTTTCGTGTGCAAAGAAAATAACAAAGAAGAGTGCAGCGTGAGGCCCAGGGAAGGAGGTTTAGAATTGCACTTTTCTTCCAACTCCAAAGTAACCTGAGTCGCTGAGGAATAGGGCTGGCTTCCCTGGAGAAATGGACGTTCACACAAAAGTAATCGGCCTCACTCTCCACAGACAATAGTTGTAACTGAAGGAAATCTAGGATTTTTCTTCTCACTTCACTGTCTTCACCAAGATGACCTTTTTTTTCTTTATTCTTTTTTAAAAAATTTTATTGGAAGGGAGAAGAAGAGAGTGATAGAAAGAACCATGATGAGAATCATGGATCAGCTGCCTCCTGCACGGCCCCCGCTGGGGATCAAGCCCGTTATCCAGGCATGTGCCCTCACCAGGAATCAAACCATGATCTTCTGTTTCATAGGTAATATGCTCAACCATTGAGCCATACGGGCAAGGCAAGGTGACCTTCCGTTCAAGTCGTGTTTTGGCTCAGAACGGACATCCCCTTGAAATCCTTCTAAGGTTTAAGACGGGGAGGGAGGATTAGAGCTTCTTTCTCCCTGGGAACCCACAGGCCCGCAGGAGAAATCATCAGTGAGGTCACCTTGGATCGCCTTTTAATCGCTACCCTTGACTGATGTGCTTGATGGAGAGGTCATGGCCTGGGCACCACCGCCCCTAACGCTTCGGACACCCACTGCTGTTACTGAGCGGCAGACTGGCCCGGGAGCCGGGCGTGCGCACAGGAGAGGGGACCCCAGTGGCTCACCTCATAGCCCAGCACACGGCCCGTGATTCTGTTCCAGGCGATGGCCGTCCACGAAACCTCCATCTCAGAAGCAGAGAAACTTTGGGCAGAGGTTCCCCGTGGGGCCAGCTGAGGCTCTGCCCTCCGGAGGAGACACAGCATCATTAGTCGAGTGGCTCTTTGGAACAGGGACATGAAATACACCCATTGCCTGGCCTGTGTGGCTCAGTGGTTGAGCATCGACCTATGAACCAGGAGGTCATGGTTCAATTCCCAGTCAAAGCACATGCTGGGTTTCGGGCTGATACCCCAGTGGGGGGCGTGCAGGAGGCAGCCCATCAATGATTCTCTCTCATCATCGATGTTTCTCCCTCCCTCCCTCCCTTCCTCTCTAACAACCAATAAAAACATATTAAAAACAAATATCCCCGGAGCCTCAGAGGACCACCCAGGGCCGAGCACCACTTACCGTCCTCCCCGGAGTAGATGATGGACACGGTGCTCAGGGCCCCTTCCCCCTCGCTGTTGTACACGCCCACTTTGACCTCGAAGGGGGAGAGCGGGGTGACGCTTTCGTTTCTGTACACGAATCTCGACGCCTCCACGGATGGGACTCGCTCCTTGGTCCAGGTGGCGGAGCCCACGGGCCGCAGCATGACCAGGTAGCCGAACTCCCCGCCGCTCTGCAGCTCCTCAGGGATGGGCTTGGGCAGAAGTGACCACCACTGAGTGTCTGCAGTTAGTGTATGGAGCTCTTACCATGTTTACCGAACACAGACATTCACCCTGGCTCATGAAGCAGTGAAAACCAGACTGCTGCCATTTGGAATGCCCGCTGGGGAAATGGTCCCGATGAAAGATGCCCATGCTCATGGGAGGAGACTCAGCAAGGGAGCCGCACCCCTGCTGCGTGCCTATAATCTCTCTTTATTGATTTCACAGGGAGAGGGAGAGGGAGAGAGAGAGAAACTTCAATGATGAGAGAGACTCATGGATCGGGTGCCTCCTGCATGTCCCACACTGGGGATCGAGCCTGCACCCCCGGCTGTGCCCTGACTGGGAATTGAACCATGACCTCCTGGTCCACAGGTCAACATTCAACCACTGAGCCACTCCGGCCAGGTTAATAGTCATGTTTTATATGAGACATTCCCCACCAGCAGCTCATATCTGCATGTATTAGGAAGTATAAATGAGGGTGAGACATGAATAAAGGTATTGTTTAAAAAGTAATTAGTGGTTACCACATCGACAAGTTAGAGAGCATGTCTAGGTTATTGGAAGCAAAGCAAAGAGCACAAACCCCACATTATTTGGCTCCGGAGGAAACGGGGGGGGGAGGGGAGGGGGGCCCGGGAGTAATTTATTTCAGGGGATTGCACCTCCATGCTCCTTCATGAGCAGCAGTCTGGGGTAACCAGCCAAGCTGTCATTAGGAACGCCATAAGGATTCTGGATGAATTCAGAGTGAATTTGAAAATCCAGGGGTTATGACTTCCCCCCCAGCAGCAGGGACTTAGGCCTGACAAGGTCTCTCTCTCTCTCTCTCTCCCTCTCTCTCTCTCTCTCTCTCTCTCCCAAAGTTCTTTTTCAGCCACAGCTCAGACTTGACATGAGGTGCTGTCTCTGCCCCAGCACCCTGATCTTTTGAAAATTCACATCAGGATGTTTGTACCCCCGCTGTTTGAACCAAGTTGGTGTTCTTCGAACAGAGTCACTCCATGCCTTCCTTCTGCCGCTCAGAAGGAAGTGTGTCTCCTCCTAAATGCACACATTCCTTAGAGGCCTGGGCGACAGCAGGGATGGGCTCGGTGATGCCAGGATGAATGTACGTGAGGAGCTGCATTCATGAATCCATGAATGGGGCTCCTGCAAGATCTGCATATCCAATATCCCAGGAAAAACACACCCAGGAAATGACTTTCATTTTCACCGCAAACTTTTTCTGCAAAGGGCCAAGTAGTAAATATTTTAAGCATCAGGGGCCATATGGTCCCTCCCAGTAGTGTGAAAACAGTCATAAGTGACACGACGAGAATGGGTACGGTGGTGGGAATTCGTTTATGAAAACAGGGAGCAAGCAGATCCGGCCTGTATGCCTTGGTTTGTGGAATCTTGCATTTAAAGGGAAAGGACATAGCCTGGCTGGTGTGGCTTAGTGGTTGAGCATCGACCTATGAACCAGGAGGTCACTGTTAATTCCCGGTCAGGGCACCAGGCTAGGGTTGCAAACTTGATCCCCATTGTGGAGCATGCAGGAGGCAGCAGATCAGTGTGTCTCCCTCATCATTGATGTTTCTCTCCCTCTTCCTCTCTCTCTCTCCCTCTCCCTCTCCCTCTCCGTCATCCTCTCCCTCTCCCTCTCCTTCCTTCTCCCTTCTCCCTCTCCCTCTCCCTTCTCCTCTCCCTTTCCCTCTCCTTCTCCCTTTCTTTTTCCCTCACCTTCTCCCTTTCCCTCACCTTCTCCTCCTTCTCCTATTCCTTCTCCCTCTCTAATATCAATAAAATTATATTTTTAAAAAAGCCAGAGTGAACTTTAATCAGTGCAAAAGGCGCCTATACATGCATACTTAAGGAGAATGACATACAAGCTACTCTGCCTGCTGAGCTTCCATCTAACTGGGCGGGGGGGGAAGGGGGGGCACAGGCTGGGCGGGGGCGGGGGGGGGGGACAGGCTGGAGGACTGGAAGAGAGGAGGAAACTGCTGGCGCCTGAGCCTCACTCACAGCCAGAACGGTGAAGTCACGTCCAGCATTTGACGCTGATGGGCACGCTGCTGGCCCCACCACGCCCATTTCCTTGCATTTGGAAGAGAACTTGCTCGCTTAGTCACACCCTCCCCCTTCGGCAGGACCGAGGTGTCTCCAGCCCCTCACTCCATCAGGAGCCTTTGCTGAGGAGTTGTTTAGTGTTTGTATGGGCCCAGCTTGTTTTCGGCGTTCTTCCTGGCCAGCTACATCGTTTTCCTTCAAGATAACTCAGCTGGACAGGAAATTACCTCCCAGGTGACTACGAGTTCCGACCGGCTTCCTCCTCCTCCCTGGATGTTGGTTGGAGCCACAATGGGGACTGAAAGCAAGGAGAGAAACGTGGGCACGGTTAGGGAAGCGTGTCTACCTCTGGGGAGTGGGCACAAGGGTCTCACCCTTAGGCCCTCCCGGGGCAGCTGGGAGGGAGCCCCGCATCCTTAATGAACCCAAACGATGTTTACTCAGACCCGAGCTTCCGAGGGGACAGCCTGGTGTCGGAGACATGAGCACCCCAGCTCCAGGATTAATTAACAGGCGAGTAACATCATGTATCTGACATTATTATGCATCATCCGCTAATTGGCAAGACGATGTTCCGTTCGGATGGGGAGAGTGACACGGTGATTTACTGCCTGATTATGCAGCTGTGCCGGGAACACGTTCCCAGCCAGATATTAATTAGGCCCCTTTCTTCTGCATAAACACGCGAAAGGCGTTTTTCTGTTTGGTCGACATCAGGATGTTTGAACGTTGAAAAATAAATTCCTAAAGGAATTTAGAATGAAAGGAATTGCTGTTTTCTAACCCCGTGTGTGAGTCACAAGTCGCCAGGTACAGAACAGACCGAGGCTGCCTCGAACTTGTCGCCCCCAAATGCCGCCAATAACAGTGGTGAGTGTGTGAGCATTCCAGTGCGTAACCAGAATGGAGTTTGACTTTTGCATGCAGAAATGATTTAAAAATCCTTTTCCCTGAAGCACCAAAAATCTGCGAGGATGCATAACGGCTGGACAAGCTTCTCTTGCGACCAGCAGAAACCCATCTGCATCTACAACTGTGCAAATTCTCTGCGGGGTCTGAAAGTATCGGACACGAGAGCGCAGCTTCAAAAAAACTCTTCTGACCTGCCTGCCACACCATCCTCATCTCCCATTGGGCACACGCACCCTCCGGGAGAAAATGCATGTTCTGTGCCTGTGACCCTGGGGCGAGGCCGGCTCTCTGTCTCTGGCTGTGGCCGGATGCTGCACGGTGTGCTGTGTGTTCTGTATGAACTGTACCGCAAGAGTAAGATGACCAGACATCCCGCTTTTGGCGGGACAGTCCCGATTATCGGGACTGTCCCGCCAAAAGCGGGACGTCTGGTCATCCTACGCAAGGGCTCCCAGGGTTTGGGAAGCCATTGGTTTCTTACTGGAGGCCTTGGTCCTAAGCAGTTCGGATGCTCTGCTCGGCTCTCCAATCCCGATGCTGTTCCCAGCGAGGACACGGAACTCATACTCCACCCAGGGAATCAGGCCCACCACGGTCGCATTGTACGTCTGACCGTTGAGAATCTCTGGAACTAAAACGAAGGGGACACTGGGTAAACACATCAATCCATCGATCCATCAAACAACACACCATTGGCTTTGCCCAATTATCCAAAACACGGGAAGCACTTACCCGTGGAGACAGCCTGCCAGCCCACAGAAAACGGCATCCGCGCCTGGACCGTGAAGATCTGGATGGGGCTGTTATTGTCCGAGCCGGGCCGCCAGCTGAGCTGGGACGTGGTGCTGGACACGTGTTCCACCTTCACCTCCTCGGGGGGACCTGGGGGACCTTCAAACACAGGTGTAACGGTGACCTTATTGGAAATGATGACATGAGCCCATTTGGGATAAGGGATCGTGTCTTTTTTTTTTCTTTTCTGTTATACTTACAAAAGATGGAACCTAATACATTTTAGCACATTAGATAAAGCCCTATTAATTCCGCTTACACACTGGGACATTAGCTTGAAATGCTTCCTTTGAAGATTAGGAAATGCCAGCCAGGGGGTGGGGAACATCATCCCATAAGAAGCTCATCTCAAATGGTGAGAGCTTCTGGGGATGCTCCTCTCAAAAGCTCCCTCAGGTGAAGGCAGCTGCCGGGGAGAAGTTGGGAACTCAGGCTTGGGCCCCACTTTGTCAGACGGTTTAGTATAGACAGAGGGCCTGCCGAGTCCAAGTGGCTGACCGTGCGGGCGAGTCTGACCATCCCTTAGGGACAGCTAAAACCTACTCAATGCAACCTCCAGTGTCATACCACCCAGGCCCTGGGGTCTTGGGGTTTAGAAATATTTCCATCCAGTTGGTGTGGCTCAGTAGTTGAGCACTGACCTAGGAACCAGGAGGTCACGGTTCCATTCCTGGTCAGGCACATGCCCAAGGCGTGTGCTCAATCCCCAGTAAGGGGCGAGCAGGAGGCACCTGATCAATGATTCTCTCATCATTGATGTTTCTATCTCCCCCTCTCCCTTCCTCTCTGAAATTAATAAAAATATATTTTCAAAATCTTTCCTATGTATCTCGCTTCTTTATCATGCTGTGGCTAATCAAGGACTTGCCATTTACGGATGAACCTTTCTCACTGTGTCTAGACAACGTGCTCACGTATGTCACTCACCTCTGACGATGATCTCCGCCATTGCCAACAAGCTCTCTAGGGCTGTCGTCACCGCGCAGAGGTATCTCCCTGAGTGACTTAACTGGATATTCCTTATCATCAAGTCTCCCACAGAGCCCTGCAGGCAGAAAGGGAAGAGGGGGCGAGAACATAAATAGGCCCAGCAGGTCCTAAGATTTCACAGCTGCATCAACATCCAGTACATGGCCACATTGAAATTGGGAGATAAACCAGTATCACCCATTTCTCTTCTGATCCCTGTGACTGTGTCCTTTCTCATAATTGTCTCTAGAATGCAAGCAAGTCCGTGAAAGACATAAAACAAAACAAACAAACAGACACAGATGCAGCTTCACAAAGAGACAGTGATTACCTCGCCAATAAGTACTGGGAGAGTCACAACAAAAGACGTTAATTCACAGGAAAGGCTTGAGTCAATTTATTAAGCACTGAGGACTGTCAGCAACTTACTCCTCCAATCCTTTCAAAATGAGCCGCATCCTTTCTTAAGTCTATGATGTGTCCATTGAAAGACCACACAAATGCGACCTCCATGGAGGGGTCATGGGACACCTGGCAGGTCAGGACGATGCTCTCGCCCACCGTGACGTCCATCGGGGCAGGTGGCTCCGTGATAACGGTCCGCTCTGTGGAGAGAGAACGCTGTTCCCGTCAAAGGTCCTCAGGAGCTGGCACGTGCCTGTGAGACATCCTCTGAGTGGCTCTGCGATTGTTTGAAATCTTACATATGCAACTCGGAGTCTGCTCTTTTCAAGATGAAAATTTCACCCCCGTTTTAATGTCTTTGCATTAACCAGGTTAGCTTACTTAGTAATCATGTAATAAAATTGAATACACAGGGGTTTTTTTCCCCCGAAATATATTTTTGTTGATTTCAGAGAGGAAGGGAGAGGGAGAGAGAAATATTAAGGGGAGAGAATCATTGATCGGCCACCTCTTGCATGTCCCACACTGGGGATAAAGTCACAACCTGGGCATGTGTCCTGACCGGGAATGGAAAGGTGACCTCCTGGTTTTCATAGGACGATGCTCAGGGAACTGCCTAGAGAACAGGAGGGAGAGTGGGTCTTAGCAGCAGAAAGACAATCTTTGATGCAACAAATTTGGACCTAAGTTGGTGGCTGTCTACCTTTCTGATAGGTATCTGGAAGTTCCTTATCCTATTTTCTCAACTTTTCTGTGTTTGTAATTTTCAGTAGCAAAAAAGAAAGTCAAAAAGAAAATGATGGGGGGAGGGTGGAGCAAATATTTATTATTCAGAATAGAGAGACACCTTTTCCATTCAGCTTTTATTTTGTTTTATTTTTAAAAATATATTTTATTGATTTTTTACAGAGAGGAAAAGAGAGGGATAGAGAGTTAGAAACATCTATGAGAGAGAAACATTGATCAGCTGCCTCCTGCATGCCTCCTACTGGGGATGTTCCCGCAACCAAGGTACATGCCTTTGACCGGAATCGAACCTGAGGCCTTTCAGTCTGCTTGTCGACACTCTATCCACTGAGTCAAACCGGTTTTGGCCCATTCAGCTTTTAAAGTGATGAGGACGGCCCAGTGGTTGAGTATCCACCCAGGAGCCATTCCCAGTAAGGGCACATGCCCAGTTTGTGGGCTCAATCCCCAGTAGGGGGCGTGCAGTAGGCAGCAAATAGGTGATGTTTCTCTTTGATTCGTGTTTCTATCTCGCCTTCTCCCATCCTTTCTCTCTAAAATAAACAAACAAGTAAATAAAGTAATGAGGACTGATCACTTTTAGAAGATTATCCAAAATACGAATGGTGACATTCATGAAGAGTTTATAAAGTGACAGAATTTTAATAGTTATTATTTTCCACCTATTTATGTATGATAAAAATCACATAAAAGTGACTTGATCTAACAATCCTATCCTCAAGAAGAATAAGGGAAGGTTTCATAAAATAGATGCCACCTTCCGAGAACAGCTTTACTGTTTACTCAGATCCGCGCCGTTAATAGAGTCTGGTGTGTCCAGAGCACCCCAGGAGACATGCAAACTAATTATTCCAAAACTTCTGTCAGGATTGTTTAGCCTGATTTCTATAAACATAGGTGAGCTTGTGCCTATACTAATGGCCAAACACACTTGAGCACACATCAGGATCCTCATATTTTCAGAAGCAGGGGATGCCAATCCAGCGTGTAATTGGTCTTTCCTGGCCGTGCAGAACATGCTATTTTTGTTTGTTTCTTTTGTACCTACAGCTCAGTTGAAACCTCCATCTGTGGGTGACAATCTTTCGGTGTCACTGTTCAGAATAATGACGGCTCAGGTGTCTCTGAAGTCATCAACTCCCCTCAAAAGATGGAGAAATGCAGAAGAAAAATCACCGCACCTTTCTCCCTCGTTTCAGACCTGTGGTTCCGCCTTCATTTGTCTCTGACATTGTAGGAAATGTTGCTAAGATACCAATAGAAAGGCAACGAGTGTATAAATAGCACTTCAGACAGGTGACAACATTCCCCAATCTCTTCTCTCCTGAGTTAACTTGTGAAGACTAGAAACACATACTTTTAGAATTTGGTCCCCTTCCTAATTCTTCAGATCTCAAATTGTCCTACCTATAAAAATGTTAACTCTTCACACACACTCAATTTCTTCCATTTAGTATATATTTCACTCTGGGATAATATTCCTTCTAAACGTATGAACAGCATTAGCATTTTAGTGTATATTTGAAAGTGACAGATTTTCTTGGGGTTGGTGTGTGTGTGTGTGTGGAAGCATTTTTATTTTGTCTTCCTCTGGGAGGATACTTTTGCTGGGAATAGAATTGTCAATGGTATTGTTTTTCAGCTCTTTGAAAAGGCCATTCCACTGTCTTCTGGACTCCTTTATTGTTGCTGCTACTTCCACTTCAGATGTATTGTTGTCCTTTTGAAGATAATGTGTCTTTGTATCAGAATGAATTGTCTTTCCTTTGGTTTTACTACTATGTGCTTATTCAAACTTCCCTGTGTATGTATCCTCAGTGGGGATTATACAGTTTCCTGAGTAGGATGCCTGCTGTCATTTTCAGTTTATTTTTTAATTATGGAAAATATTGCTTCCAGTAGTGCTGATGCCTTCTTTCTCTCCTACATCTTCACACCTGGAGGAACTGCCATTTCACCTGTGTCAGATCCAATCACCACGTCTCACACATTCCTTAGGGTCTATTATCGCTCCATGTTGTGGTCTGGATATTATCTAGACACAATCCTCCCATTTAGTGATCTTCTTGTCCGCTGTGTCTAATCTTGCATTAAATCACTCTATTTTCTTAATTTCACCTTTTGCATTATTCATTTCTGGAACTTCAAATTGATTTGTAATAGATGGCATTTCTTTTTTCTTCCTCCTCTTCCTTTTTCCCACTAATCCTCACCTGAGGATTTTTTTCCACTGATTTTCAGAGAGTGGAAGGGAGGGAGGAGGGGGGAAGAGAGACAGAAACATTGATATGAGAGGGAGTGATTGATTGGTTGTCTTTCACACTCAACCAGGTGGAGGCTGGGCTTAGAACCTGCAAACGGGGTACATGTCCTTGATCAGGAATTGAACATGAGAACCCCGAAAGCATGGACCAATGCTCTAACCACTGAAAGGAACCAGCCAGGGTGCATTTCTCTTCTTAAATTCTTCATCATCTCATCTATTTTTTGACCTTATTCATCACAATTGTTTTGAAACCCTTTTCTGATAACATCTATATTTCTATCAGCTGTTGCTGCTGTCAGATTTCTCTCTGGTCCCACCATTTATTCCTGCTCCAGCTACTCCAGGTAACATTTTATTGAACGCCGGCCCCGTGAGTCAGAATGCAAACATATTTATTTTGTTACGTTTTCCGAGTAGATTGACTTTTTTGAAGGGGCAGCTGAGAAAGAGCTGAATCCAGTGGGGCACTGATTTCAATGGACTCTGATAGGCAGTCATGGTGGGTCCTAGCCGGTTTGTTCTATTTTTATTGCCAGAACACAGCCCTCCAGGTGCCTCTGTTCACCGTTGAGTAGTCAGCAGGCCTCATCCTATTGGCTTGTTCCAAGCCCCAATGCTTATCTTCCTTGCGCTGCTTGACAACCAGCACTTCTGCTTAGGTGTTTCCTGTTCCTATTGGTTTGCTGGTATTTCTGACTCATACAACTTAGACACTGCCGGACTGTGGATGAGCAAATCACTGGGAGCTGGGGCTCCCCACCTGTGCTTTTCTTTTCTCCTGAGCGCAGTCCTACCTGCTGCCAACACCGTGGTGATGCTCACGGTTCCTTCATTCTTTTGTTTGTATTGATTACAGAAACATGTTAGCAGCATTGGTGGCTGATCACTGATGGGATGTTGTTGTGATAAAGATGCTTCTGCTGTCAGGAGGGAAGTTTCCCCTTCGTTAATGTTTAAGGACAGACTGTGTGTGGGGCCGGGAAAATCTAGGCCACGGATTAGTGGGGGGTTGGGGAACAGCTTGCACGGATAATTGAAGCAGCTGGGGGAGGACACCAGGGTGACGTGGGTCAGAGGCAGAGATTCATTCTGGAACCTCCCTCAGCCCCTGGGTGCTGGCTGCTGGTCCTTCACTCTTCAGGAAGGAAACTAGGGGGGTGGGGGAGGGAGGAACAGTTATCCTAAGGATCTGACGAGCCTAAGAATAAAGGCCTAAAGATGGTGGCCTTAAGAATTTCCCAAGGAACTATCCTGATTTCAACATTGTAGCGTGAAGCCCAATAGGTCAATAAACCCCTGCACTTGTTCAGAATTTTTATGAGGTTTTAGCACCCCAACTATTCACGTGAGCAAACAGCTAAGGTTCACAAAGTGTCTTTGTGCCTCCCTTAATAAAAATAGGGATTAAAAAAAAGAAGAAAGCATGTGGGACAACAGAGACTGCTGGAAACATAAAGTACAAAAGAAAAACTATCAGCAATATTTTCTGAAAAAGAAACAGAACAGCAAGAAATTATATAAAGAGACAGTGGGAAAATAAGAGAACACTGAAATTAAAAAAAAATAGCAAAAGTGAAATTAAAATGTCTGGAAGCTAGAGTGCAGAAAACCACCCAGAAGGCAGAGGAGGAAGCTATAAAATCTACACAGGAAAGAGAAACACCTCTCTCTGTGTGTCATCTATCTATGACCTATATTGTATAGGTATCCAAATACACGAAGTACAATAGATTACACACACAAATACATAGCTATGCACAGACGTAATCTAGAGTGCAATTTAGGAAATCTCACTTTTAAATAGTGTATCTCAGAAACAGAAATGGAGCCAATGGTTAAGGTATTCGGGAAGAGAGTCCAGGACCAAGAAAGATGTGACCCCGGGTGACAGAGCATCAAGCAGACTTGCCGTGGGGCCCCTCAGCCTGTCACTGGAGCAGGAGAACAGACTGTGCAGGGGGACCCAGCAGCGGTGCGCACCATGAGCCAGGAGCCCGGATGGCCCGGCTTCCGAGCTGAGTGACAGCTGCAAACGCCTGAAGACTAAGGACCCAGCCTGGAGTTCTATCTCCACTAACCAGCCAGCACCAGTGAGCATGGCACACAGACGTGCGCTGACTTGAAGACTCTCAATGTGCATCTCTCTCAAACTCCCCCTCAGAAATCCATGGGAAGATGCATCCCTCC